ACACTATGTAGAAACTTTTAAATTGACACTATGTAGAAATTTAATGGAAACAGAATTTCAATTGATTGCAAAAAAATATTTCGTCCAGTTCAGGCTACAGTTCTTACTTGAAATTCCAAATTCATAATATTCATAATAAATATCACGTGCCTTTGTTTTAAATCTCTATTTATTATTAAATGAAGAACCTATGAGTGAGTATATGAGTTCCTAACGCTTAGGAAAGACAATCTACAGTACGCATCTGCAGCTATCAAATTTTGTACACACGTAGTACTGAAACCAACAGCCTCCCTTTGAAATACGAATTTTGAATTTCGAATATTTCTTTTATTAATTTACATTTTGCGCGAATTTAACGAATCATATCTGAAAAGAGTCATGAAATCGATAAGTTATTTCAGCACATAGGCATTGTTATAATGATATATTATAAGTTCCAGCACAAGAGATTAAAATTTGAAAATATCAGAGAATACATATCTGTTTCAAGAACTTTTTCATGTGCAACTTTTTATTGAGTAAAACAGAGGTTTTTCTTATATTACATTTTTTACTTTATACTACTTTTAGTTTATTTGCTATAATTTACTAACGTTACTGCAGATACATTATTTTGCTTTTCAGCTCATAAAAGCATCTTATTATTTAACAGTTCATTTCGGAAAGCGAGATGTGAATCAGCTTATCTTAATTATAATAATATAGGCATTAGGTTTTGAAGATCTGAACTCTTAACTGCATACATATTAAAACTTTTAGTAAGTCAATCTATTTTTCACTATAAATAGTAAGTACTGATATTAGTTCAAATACCGATTATTTGTTTCTCTTTTGTTTTTGATAAAGAATTCGAAGACAAAGAGATACAACAGTCGTTCAGTAGTAGCATATATAATATTTCTGCAATAAAATTCCTTAATTTTCTGTATCTTTGCAACGAAAACTGGCGAATCTTTCTTAAAAAACATGGTAAAAGGTCAGTAAAGGAGCTTAATGATAATAACATTAGATGAAGGATACACTAAACGCAAAACATAATGAATACGGTAGACTTTATGTACGAATTATTAAAAAGGGTCCTTGTAATACATAAAATATTTTAATGGTATTTCCTTTATAATAAATTTTATAATTTCTTGAATCTATATTTTTTAAAAATCTCTTTCAAACTAAAAAAAAAAAAAAAAAATAAAATAAAAGTTTGCTTAAGGCAAATAAAAGTAATTTTACTTTCTCATTTCTTTACTTTTTCACAATTTTATTATTTATTTTTTTAATGTGTGAGGAGTCAGCTCTCAGCATTAAAAGACCTGTATGAAAAAGACTATCTGCTATTATTCTCATGTCAAAACAGTAGCCATGTCTAACAATTAAAGCGGGGCAATCCGTGTCTATCAGCCGTCACGAAAGAACCAAAAAAGAAAATAAACATATGGAAAAAAAAATATTTCGCTTAAATACGTCCGACCTGCACCCCGGGCAGGTGCATGGACTGAAGAATACGTTCGATAGAACGCTCCAAGACATTCGTTGTTCCACTTACAAATCCTTTACTGTCGAAAAGGTTTCCTTCGGGCAGAAACCAGCAAAAAATAAAATCTCCCAAAATAATTGATTAAGTAGTACTTTCAATTGCAGTCTACGCTGCGGGGATGGTTACCGAGTTTTCTGCGGGCAACTGTAGCTTGATTGATATCAGTTTCATGTCATATTGACTTAAATAAGTGCTAATTAACCGCTAAAGCAATGATGTAAAAAATATAAATATGCAAAGGATTATTTTATGATGGTGCCTTTCCTTTACATCAGATTTATAAAGAATTAAATTATATATAATTTTAAACGCTTTTGTTTAATGTATTGGTTTTGTTAAAGTACTCTTGGAAACCTTCAAATAAGTTTTCACTAAGGTTTTTGTTGTATGAAACATATTGCTGAAAGGTAATTTAAACACCGTAATATACAAATCATATCCAAAACTAAACTAAATTCTTAGCCTTGGAGTTATAAACGTGTTCATCTTGAACTTTGTCCCGCGGAATAAAAGTTTTGTATGAAAGTTCGAAAAGTAAAGTATAACTTTTGCCGGATTCTCAGGGCCGACAGAGAAGCCCCATCTACTTGAAGTTTCAATACTCTGCAGTGTTTTATTACTAATCATGGTTAATTATGGGTAATTAAAGTCTATTGAACAAATGATATTTATATCTCGGTATCGAGTACATAAAATAAAGCATTTATTATTCTTTTGTTTTAAGAACTATTTTGAAATTTGAATTCCCTTCTTGTGGAGGGTATGCCACAGTGACCCTACTATGAGCTGCATATAGTAAAATCCACCTCATCAGCGACAGACATTGGACACAGCTGTTTGGTGTTCAAATTTAGCTATGAGCCTGGTACAATTGGTAACATGACAAGATGCGCATTTTTGGTGCTGTTTAAGCTTTTCTAATTTATATAAATTAATTAATTAAATTTCATATTATTTCTAAGTTTAGAACTGACAAATACTCCACAATATTTTTTCTAAAATAATACTTAGCAGTGGAAGCGCGAGATATAAATAACATCACTAAAAATCATCTTCGGAAAAATTATTTTTTTCTATAGGATTCTAGTTAAATACGGGCTATGTATGAATGTTAAGGAACCGGGTGATATCAGTCAGATTTTCAAAATATCATGCACTACCTGTCTGGTAATGAATGATAAGTAGGTTTAAAATAATCACTTAAATTTCGTGAAAAATAATTTTGACAGCTCAGCGTCATGAAGTATCTTCTACTTTTTGTGAATTCTAATAGCCCGTGAGCATAAATTTAAAAGTTCGATGGAGCAAGAACTTTTTATTCTCTACAAAATTGATATTTCTGTGTTACTTACGACCTTTACGCTCTTATTTAATCATCAGTTTATTGATAATTACAGTAACTATATTCTAAACAGCATAATGACTTTCTAAGCATTTTGGTTTAACGTCAACAACAACAACAACAAAAAAAAAAAAAAAAAAAAAAAAGACCGAAGCTGTCAGTTACCTTATAATTACTCTATCAGCTAACCCTAATTAAGCTAATCATATACGCTTTGTTGTGCGTTATAATTCTTCATGGTGATTTTTGTGGTGTCTTGTATGCGTCTAAACTGATTTCAAGATAAACTAACATGCTTTCGAATTCAGATTCATGAAATAAAGTTTACATTTGATTTTCAATTGAAGCACAAGTTTGAATTCGATTTCAGGAAAATAAATAATCCATGTCATCAAATGAAGTAATTTTTAGCCTTTAAGACATGAGTTAGGCAAAATTCTTATCTTAAATATTCTGAAATATCCGTACATATAACAACTTTCAGCGACGAATTTTTTCTGGTTAAGAGCTTGCTTAAATACTTTCAAATTCCCTTTCATTGTATTTTTCGGGATTAAATTTGCAAGTCACTTAACGTATATTAACTTTAATAATGTAATTTCCTTATTTCAGCAACATAAAGAAAGATTTTAACTTTCCATTTTTTTATCTATTTTTAAAATATTTTATTCTTTTATCTACACAACGTTATTTTCATAATGAAATAATCTTAGTCATCTCCAGTCTCAGTTTTGGATTACAGTTGCCACTGCTAAAGGCCTTCAACAATACTTATGTTACGTACGTCTGCTGGCAGCAGCATAGAAAATTCAACAATAAAATTTATGTTATTTAGCTCTGAGAAAGATGTATCGTATTCCTTGTCCTCGAAAATTTCTTCTCCGGATTTCATACTTGTTCTTACTTCTAGTTTAAGAAATGTTGAAGAACGGTCAAGAAAAATCTAACCTGGGAAAGATTTATAATTTTTTTCTTCTTCAAAGACAGACACTTAATACAGATTCATAAATTTAAAGATAATCTTATTTACTATTTCTTCCTCTGAGAAGAATAATATCCTTCTCGAAGGCTGTAGTTTTTTTAAATGTCCTTCGAAGACTCGTCGAATGTCAGCATAGAAAACTTCTTTACTTTTTAATTTTATTTTATACAAAAGTCAGAAATATATTATGGGGAGTTTCTTCATTTACCTGAATAAATGCTTAATATGTAGTAAAACCTTTGAAAAGAGAAAGAACCCTATAACTCAGATAATTTAATTTAAAATTTTAAACAACGAAATTTGTACCCTTTTATAAGACAGGGTAATTTTGTATTCTTTATTGCAATACAATCTTGTAATTGCTGATAGGGTTTGGAATTGGTAGTTATAGTGTGAAAGTGTTCTTGAAGTATATTTAGAAATGAATTTCATGCAACATTTCAACACGCACGACTTTAAGCACATTAATAATCTGGCATATAGGTATTTATTCATTACCATACTATAAACAATTGTAAAATCTTTCGAAAGTGCAAAAGGTTTAATGAAAAATTTAAAAAATGCAACAGGGATGGAAATTTATAATTTTAAATTTTAAAATATTATAGCTTTGGCAGAAAATTTCCACGCATTGTTGGTTTCTCTTTTATCATAAGTATTAAACTGCCGTACTGTTTAATAACAGATGTACATTCATCAAAAGAACTTATATCAAACAAATAAAAACTTGTTACTTCTTCTAAAACAAAACCAATTTACTAAAAGTGGAACAGAAGCAAGATTTTTCATAAAATGTTTTAATGATTTAAAATTTTAAAAAGAAGCTTTTCAATGTTTAATAATTTTATCAAGTTTTTGAGGCGCAGTTTATTTACGAAACTCTTAAAAAAAACAGAAATAATTACAATAACTAAGTTACAAGCCGATTCATAAAAAAATCATATCTCAGTGTTTTGAAAAGACAAAAATAAGCTTATTGAACGAATACAATTTTCTCCTTGTAAGAAATGTTCACTATATATTCTTTTATCTATCAATTGTTTTTTTTTATTTTTTGGAAGTATATATTTCATGTGCATTTATGAAGCATTACTACTAGTTTGCTGGTTTAATTTACACATATGCATTTTCTTTTTTAGGAAATCTCTGCATTCCACTAGCAGTATGCGTGAGTATATTTAAAATATGCTTCTTAATATAAATTGCTATAATTTGGATTCCTTTAATTTTATTAGTTAACAAAAGTAATAATAAAATAACAACAATAATTATGGCAAATATTAAACAGTAGCAAACTCTGGCATTTTAATAAATTAATTAATTAGAATAAAGTTAATCGAATTCCAGTTTCCTTATTTTCAGTATCTAGAAAAATAATAAGCAAAATACTAAACGAAAAACTATCTTAATAATAAATAGAAAATGATGCTTTATCAAACATTGGTAGAAACATTGGTTACTCTGCCGGGCATTTTAGGAAACCAAAAGCCATTTTCAGTATTTTAGAGAAAATAATTAGTTTTACCACGCTAAATTTTACGTTTCTGAATTATGAAACATTTACCAATATGTTCCATTTTCGAGTATATTTTATTTGAAATTAAGATACATTTAGAATTAATTCTTAAGACATTCTCACAAATCAAGAAATATAAGTTTTTACAAGAAGTTCCATTTGCTTTCAGTAATATAACTTGAAAAATAAATAACTTGCCTTAAACTTGTAAATAAATGAGAAGAAAATATTCATAATGCATGTTTTATTATATTTTTAAATTCTGAAAACATAAAAATGTAAATATAGTTGGGAATTAGATGCATGTTTACAGGTAAGGATTATAAAAAAATTTGCGATCCTGACATATTCGTAACAAAAATAAAAAAATACTTGATTAATAGTTATTGAATATAATTCGACAATATTCCAATAATTAATTTAGTATGAAAGAGACATGCATTGCAAGCGATACATACTAAAGTGTTAAGTTATAATTTCATGACTTGGCTTCTTGTGATCCTGTCCAGCATAAAATTAATTGCAATCGAATTAAGAATATATATCATAGTAAGTCTTTCTAACCAAACTTAAGTTTTAATTTTACTAGCTATATTTTGCGTGCATGAACGATCATCTTTTTAACATGTGCACATTGTAAATGCCAGAATGCCAGAAGACAGTACAATCTCCACTTTTGTGTATCAAATGCTATTTGGGTCTTAACAGAGATAAAGTGGTAACAGTACGCTAGGAATATGATAGTTTCAGACAGCCGCGGTATGTGAAAATAATCAGCATAAACACGCGCTGTATAACTGAAATTGGCGGTACCTGAAAAACATAGCAGTTACTTTAGGAAGAACAGCAAAAAACCATAAAAGTAAAATTGGTGACTTGAATCCTATTTCAGTTACTATATGCAGGTACTTTTGCCAATGCGTGTTTCTAAAGTCTCGCTTGAGTCAGATGTCATCAGACTCTGAATGACTGCCAGACGAATCTCTAATTCAGATACAGTCTCGTGATAATACTCGTGCGGAGTATGTATCATTAAAGCAACTTAAGTCTTCGTTGACAGAAATGATTTGCTCAGCAGACAGACGACAGATCATTTGTACCCTTTCACGAAAGTTATGATTTTCTCTGGTAATCTTTAAATCAACATAATAATGCAATTCTTCAGCAATATCAGTCCTTTGGTGGTTTAATAATCACTATTTATTTCAATTCTTCGCTTGTTCTTAAGTTCGCGGGATTTTAAACTACTGCTTTCTTATCACTTTAATGAGTTCACTAAACTCACCTCACTTAATACATTGCCGCAGCGTTCAATATGTCTCGTTCATTGCAGTCCTCTATTGGCTTCGACACTTCGTTCACTCAGTATTACTTCGAATAGTTACAAAGCCAGACGAAAGACCTGGACAGAACTAAGTGTTACCAAATGTTTGGCAGGTCAGTTCAGATTGTAGCAAAGTGTGTATCGTTATGTCAATACTATGTCCGGAACAAAAGGAAAAATTCTTTGACGAATTCTGAAAGTTACATTTTCGATTTAAAAAGTGTGCGCGACACTACATTGCGTTCATTATTTGAAGCAATGACTGTCTTAAATTGTTTTAGATATTTTTATTAACTCTGAGTTAATTACGGATATAAATTAATTGAGCGTACATGCAGACAAATATTAGGAATTCCATTTTATACCGTTATTTATAATTACAACAATTGAAAAACTTAAAAACATTTCTACTATAACCTATAAGAATAATATATGATCTAATTCTTTAAATTTACACTAGAATGAGAATAATAATTCTGAAAGCATACATACATTATAATAATTCCAAAAAAATACACTTAGCACATGTTTTGAGCTTGCAGATAAATTTCGCAGCTAAGAATTTTCCATTAATAAAAGAAGTCAATGACCAAATTTAAGTAATTATAATTTGAAAATTAACGAATCCAAATACATTATTACACAAATATACTATTAATTTGAATAAAAAAGAAAAATAAAGCTGAATCTGAAGAACAGTTATGCATAAAGAAAATTAACAGCAGCCTCCAATTAAGCCAGTCTAGGAGGACCATGCATATTTGTATTTCAAGATCCTCTAATCCCTTTCTTACATGCTTTCATGATAGAAAATGAGGGTTATGAGGAACTGTAGGATGATTTAGATTTGTAGATTATAAGGCCGTCGGCCCCAAGTCCAGGGCTTGTCCAAAGCCTAGGTGGTAATTAAATCTTGCTTTACAGTACTAAATACTAGGGCTATTTTTTAAACACGATCCATATTGCAATAAAAATGAAATAAGTAAAATTTTCATAATAATAATAATAATATCATTTATTTTCTGGATTCATTAACAGTTACCTATTCTTCTACATCATTTTCTCTTTTTCGGTTTAAGCATTTATCGTAGCGAACAATAAATTTCGGAAACCGCCCTCACATAACCCTGCCCCTTTGCGATGATAGTCAGTTACTTGCGGTCGTTTCCACTTACCATTAGTGCGTTGATTCCCTTCGAGTATGAATTTTTATATTTTATTATCACTGATGATATTGTCCACATGCACTTCACAAATCTGGCGATGAATATCCACAGCCTTCATGTGCCTTGCTGTTAAGAACTGGATGACTGAAGAGTATTTTACTGTCTGTGAGGCAATCGAATTTCTAAAAGATTTTAACCTCACATTACGAAGCATAAAGACTAACGACGGAAATGCAAGTGACATTGGATTCTGCGCAAAAAATGCCGGAAACCTGATCGCGCATTTTTACTTAGGCACACGGGAAATTTCAAACGGTATTCACAAACGAACCTTTTTAGAAAAAAAAAAGCGAAAAAAAATTTACAGGCATAAGTTATTAAAGTAAAAAATATTTTGAAAGCTTTCAGATTTCACATTACACCAAAACGGTCTTTTTTTCTCCTTTCATTTACAGACGCATAAACGTTTCAAGAGCATTTGCGCTAACGCCACATTTTGAGCTAAAATATTTAAAACAACCTACCTTCAGATTTTCCGATAAACAATCTAGCGCGTTGGAGATAAAACAATTTTATTCCCTACAGTGTTGCTACTGCTCGCTTTGAAATTGTTGAGTTTTTTTGAGAAAATTCGTTAAATTTTCACAAAATATGAACTAGACAATAAAACAAATTTCCAAATTCGAGATTCCAGGTGCTCATGTTATTCAAAGCTACATGACTCCAAAAGCCTTTTTTAACAATACTAAAATCCATACATTCATGTAGACTCTTCATTATGCAGTTGCTTTAAATATAATACAGAGTGATACTACTTGGTGGTAATACTTTGAAAACTGATACAGCCGTTTATAGTAATTCGACAAAAAAAATGCTGTTTCGAGACTAATAGCCTTTCTGGGTTAAAGAAAAAGAAAAGAAGATAGCCCCTTTAAGATAAGTGTGTCGAAACACTTAAATACGTTGTATCACTTTCCAAATTGTTGCCACCAAATATTATTGTCTTACATTTAAAGAATATCATAATTATCATAATTATCATAATTTAAAGAATATCACAATTATCATAATTGTCTTGCATTTAAAATACATTTAAAGAAATCAAATAATGAAAAATCTACATGAATTTCTGCATATTTCACGCACTGTGAAAAAACAACGGTACCTAGAGACATCACATTTTGAATAACGTAATCCTCCACCCGAGTATGAGCATCTGGAAGCCCTAATTTCGAACTTCTTTCATTATCTATTTCATATTTTGTTAAAGTTTAACGAATTTTTGATGAACAACTCAACATTTCAAAGCGAGTAGTATCAATACTGTACGAAATAAAACAGTTTTATCTCCAGCGCGAGAGACTGTCTGTCGGAAATTCTAAAGATATGCTATTTTCAAATATTTTATGATTTTGTTATTGAATCGAATTTTATGTGGAGTCAATATTATTAAATAAAGAAAACTCACAAAGCATTAAGAATAAAAAGAGAAAAAAAAAAAAAAAAGCTTTGTAAAGCCATTTTAGTGAGAAAACTGAATATTAATATGATAAACTCAGAAAAGTCTGGAAAAAACAGAAAAATATATGGCAACACCTAACGCTGTATAAGCAATTCTAAACGTGTACCACTATGCTGCTTTTAAAATTTTTGTGGTTTTGTTGTTAAACTGCATATGGCGTAAGTGCGAAGAAAATGATGTTTCATAATGAAGCTAAAAAGGCACAAAAAAATTTAGTAGATGCGAGTATAACAGCAGACTGATAGATAGATGCATGGCTCAGCGAGAGCGTAGAAAACTTTAACAAACCCTTTTAGGTGACCTTTAAAATTTGAAACCTTTCAGATTTTAATATATTTTTGTTATAATTAATTTGCTTTTAATTCTCAATTACAAAAGGTAATCATAAAAAAGATTGCGTACTGATGTAAGAGAATGGAAAACGCATCGACTAAGACATGTTTGATGCAGTAAAAGCTTTGAAATAGCATTTCTTGAAGAACTCATTGTAATGATTTAGGTATTTCAGGGATCCACTGATAAGCCTTTTCAGCAGAAATGTGCCTCCTAATATACTGACTTGTAGCTGCGTGTCTGAGACTCAGAACCTGTATTTGGCTTCTAGTGATTTTTACGTATTCCATTCCCTGAAAAATCGTCTGTCAGATATCTATCATACCATCTTCCCGAATGAAAATGGTATGAAAACTTCTATATGTATAACGCCCAGAGGAGATATATGCCCATAGGAGACAGTAGTTAGTGATGTTGATGATTGTCGCATTGAAAGGCCCGAGTTCGAAGGCAATTATGTAAATGAGCATATATCATTTACATAATTGCCTTCGAACTTCGAACTAATGTTACATAATTTACATTATTTGCCTGTGCGACGAAAGATAACTCAAAATACATGGCTAGTTGAAATCTGTTCAAGAGGTTCAAGGTAAAGGAAGAGGGGTAGGAGAGCCTCTGACCGCAGTGTCCGTTGTCCTTTGATATTTCAACTGGAACGGAAGCTTAGCAGTTAGGAAGACTCGGCGGTAGCTGATATGTTCATTTGGATGCCCAGATGCCGACCTTGCTTCAACCTACACCTGTATACAAGGATTCCTCCATAATTTCCATCAGCGTTAAATGCTACGTTATTAGTGGTGCGCAGTCTACTCAGTTTTATCGTAAAGGACACTTATTCTTAGAAATTCCCTTTTTCATTGGAAAGATTAAGGCAAACTTTCCAATGTAATACAGCAGCAGTCAAAACTGCTGATCAAAGAAATCTACTAAAATCCCCTTTGCCGAATTAAAAAAACTTATATGTCATGAATTCTCCAACAAACGTATGATTTCTTTACTTTCTATGAAACAGCGTAGGACAGTTGCATGGAAGTTCTCTTGCAAGTAACAACGAAGTGGGACAGCCAAGCTTTGTCATAGTATGAAATAGTATTTGTCACAGTCTCTAATCCTGGTATGAAAGCTTTGCTTGTTGTTAGTTCATTCTGGGTCAATTAGGCAGCCATTAGTGCAAGTTCACTTCGATAGATAAGGCCAATGGAAGCAAAATGACGCAAAACTTGGAATATTGTAAAAAATAAACCTTAAGACATTCAACAACTGCATAGCTCAGTTTCAGCTCAGGAGCTATACGACGCAAAGTTTTCATCCGTGCTTTTGATTTCTTTTTAACACGCGCAGTGGTTATCATAATTGTCAACGAAATGAGTTCTCCATTGCATTCCTCCAATTAGAAAAAAAAATAAAACAAGGTAGCATTACATTGCCTAAATAGTACACTATCATATTTATATTAGTTGTTAATTAATATAGACTGTAGATACGCTTTTAAATCCTAATCATTCTTTTCACATCAACTTGAGATCCACGTTTACAAACAATCATTTCGGAACGTCACTGCCCATGGCTAAAGATATTCACAGAGTTCTCGGGGTCGTCATTATTATCTCGCGAAAGGACATATAATTCATGCCCCTTTTCCCAGATAGCGCATAACAGCTCGGGAAAGTAACATTTTTACTAAATCAAACTAAATATATTATCTTTCTATACAAATTTATTGTTTTATTCTTAACGCGAAGTGTTTTTAATTTAAATCTGTATTATATGATTTCTGTATTTCCTTTTACGTACTATACTCACATAAAAGGAAGTATAGAAACATAAAAATACTTTCATGATTCTGTTACTTAGAGACAATCATAATCAATGTATTTTATGCTAACTAATGCAAAAATATGAAATGTTAATTTAATAAACGAGCAATAAAACATATTATGTTACTGTTATTATTAATAAAAATTGAGCATTCTCATTACTTTAACGTTTATTCATTTAACAACGTTTTATTCATTTACGATTCTTTCAACGTTTTATTCATTTACGATTATTTATTTGAATGAATATTCCATACTTTTTGTCATTTTTTTTTGTCATGCTGTTTGTCATTTTGTCATGTAATAAAGGTACAGTTCAAAATAATTTGATTGTTATAAATGGAACGACCAGTAGAAGGTACGCCGAAATCTGTTGTATAACTACACATTATTAAAATTTGTGACAGCAGGAGAAAATTGCAGACATGGGCAACAAGGACAGGTTGAAGCAATGACAACACCTTTGCATTTCCGTAGGCATATTAGGTCGCAGCGCCGGCCTTGCTAGCTATTTAACTTTCGCTCCCGTTTTGACTGAGAACACCCTACGGGACGTTCCCAATATTTCCTACCCCTCTTCCCCTATCACTAATCATTCAAGAGGATTTACAGGTCACCGTATATTTTGAATACCCCATTGTCGCACGGACACTGTACGCTTAAAGAACAAAATCCCTGCTTTTTCCGGAATTTGATCCCAGGCCCATCGGTCTGGCAGTCAACGTCTTTAAGGACTATGCCAGCTAAATGGCAAGTACGAACAACATAAAAAGCAGACAATGGCTGTGGCAAGGAGTAATTGTGAATACCTTTAAGATACTTTAATCATAGAAATAATCATCTGAATCCAAGTACCCTTTACAAGTTTAGATTAGAGAATTTTGCAGAAACTGCAACCAATATACACTAATGTTTGTAAAAAAAAACGCAACACCGTGAAGGAATTGCAATGAATCGAAAATGAATGAAATCTATTCCACATATTATCGATAGTAGTATAAATAAACGATCAAATATAGTACAAGATAAAAGAAACCAAAACGAACGTCTGACATAGTACACGCTGAACGATAAGAGTCTGTACGCCGTGGCATTGAACCATACAAGTTCTGAATGTAATCCTGTGGAACGGCATTCCGTATGGCTTCCATTTAACGCCAAAGTTCAGTCTTAGTGTGTGCCGCACCAGCTGTGAGAGCGAGTCTCCGACCGATGAAATACCAGACATGCTCAAAGACCGACATATAGCAAAGGGGAATAAGCAGGCCATGGAAGATGCGAAACCCATTGTGACCTAAAGGAGGCTTGTGCAGTTTGAGAACCATGTGCACGGGCATTTTACTGCTGATATTCAGCGCCCGAAATGCATCGAAGAATGGGCAGGACTTCTGGCTCCACAATTTCCCTTACTTAGCGATCACTGTTGAGGTTGCCCGCAATCTGCACTAGACGGAATCGAGAATTGTACACAATAGCTCCCCACACAATGATACCAGGCGTTTGTGCGGTATGACGCTGGATAACACACTGTGGGACACAGACGTTCCCCTCTGTAACGTCTGATGCGTACTCTTCCATCATTCTACTCCAGACTGTAGACAGATTCATCTGAGAAAGCAACTTGTTAGTTTTGTTACTTAGTGTTTTAGTCTGATCTCTTTCACCATAGCACTCTCGCTCTGTAAAGCCAAGTGAAGGAGCCAAAGACTTGCCAATACATGCAATGCAGTTGTTGGAGTAGTGCGGAATCGTCTGCAGATGCCCAGAAGAAATGGTAGTTGAGCCGAGTTTAGTACTTGTTGTATGTTGATCGTAACGTCCTATATGCAGATGCCATGAAGTCCTATTCGTTCAGTGACGGTGGCATACTATAACTTGAGTACCTGCGAGAAGACCCCCACCTAGGAGCAGCTGTTGTCCGCATTGTGTTAGTTTATGCAGTCTTTCTTTAAGGTCCTTGATGTCAGGAAGCCAGGAGAATCTGTCGTCTATTATATCACCCAAGTAGCGGAAATGTCTCACGAATTGTATATTTCTGCCATGGAGGTTTATGCACGGGGTACGCTCGTGCCTTTTTCTTAGGCTAAAAAACATTCCTTTTGTTTTGCTCTTGAAGCTTTTTGCTCTTTTGGTGAGCTTATGTTCATCGGCCCAGCGGACTATTTTATCTAACACTTTTTGGGAATTTACATCGTAATTTTTACGGCTGTGACCATTTGAAACAAGCAAGAAGTCGTCAGCATATGCTATTACCGTATTTACTCGCGTAATATTCGCACTTTTTGCCAATTTTTCATTGTGGAAGTCTTGGTGCGACTATTATACGGGAAATCTAGTACACAATATTGTACACTTTCGGCGACTTTTTCCGCTTCAAAACGGAGGTGCGACTATTAAGCGAGTAAACGTGGTATTTCTGATGTTTCATCGTCATCAGACAGGTTGAGCGCGGTGTCTGCTACCAGCGTCCACAGATATGGACTTAGTCAAGAGCCCTGCGGGGCAGCCGTTCGTCATCTTGTGCATGTGGACATCTCCGTCCGTTGTAGCTTGAATTTGTCTTTCACTCATATTGCTGTAGATCAGTTCAAATCAAGTTTGGAGGCAACTAATATCTTTGAGACATTTTAAAAAATAATGCCACCACAACGAATCGAAGGCACCTTAACTGTCTATGCTGATTACAACAGTATGCTGTTTATTCTGCATGTTTCTAAGTACCCTGTTCTGTAGGTGATCCAATTACGTGATCCATTGACTTCCCTGCACCAGCTGTCACTAGTGAATTGATGCCATAAATGATTATTTTAATTAGGCAAGGTTTTTCGCTCCATTTTTTTCCGATTTAAAATATGAAGAGCTTTTGCTATTTCATTTTCAGCAGTCCAATATAAAAATTACAGTTCAATGCGTAGATAAGCATTTTAAATTTATTTTGATGGAACTAAATGCGCGTTACATTTTAGTGGATACAAAAAATATTTGAATATTTATTTCCTAAATACTTTAGTCCAAGAGGGAAATTTTCAAGACATAAATCAAAAGGAAATATTCAAAATATCCAATGCGGAGTACGAAACAGAAGACTATTCATAATATACTCAATTATTAATTTTTATAAAGAATCCAGAAAGGTCACGACGTGCTTCACACTATAATAATTTGTTTAAGCTTTCTCTTCTTCAAAAGAGCTTAAAATTTTATAAAATATCCGAGAATGTATAGAGCTGATATAAAATGTAAATACCACTACAGTGCAGAAGATATCATTTTCATAAGAAAGTCCTGGATACGCAATGCAGAACCAAAGTCAAAACTGGCTTTGGAGCAATTGTAAAAAGCGAAATGGAAAAACATTCTCAATAAAAATAAGTGGCATGAAAACTAGATGTAAAAAGAAATTTTATTTTTATCTCATGGCTTACAAATTTATAGCCGCAGTTTTTGGGATATTTTTAAAGTGATAAACATTTTTCTTCCAGCAATCATACGGCGAAGGTGGAGCGAGGGGCGATGAAGGGGGCAATCCTGCTGGTCTCGACTTCAGCGGCGTCGTAACACGACACGACGGTTACGTTAAAGGCGAGACTCCCACAATACCACAGACTAGTTTCAGCTGTTCCGCAACACCCTATAATCCTGGTCTATATGCTGACGTAGAGACAAACTGTCAGGTAAGTTTTCAACTATTCTTAACAGCTTTGTAATGCGTTCTTTCTTTCGAACCTTCTGTATATTTTACACTATAATGACATGCTCGCTCAGCGGAAATTCAGGTTGTTATTAACGGAAGCGGTTGTTATAACCTATGATTATTTTAGAACAGTGGAAGATCAATAGTTCACAAGCTTTGCAGAACTAGACATCATTTTAGACACTCCTAAATCTCCCCAATGCCGCCTAGTATGGATCCACCTAACTTCTATTTTTAACCTTCCAACGCAGCTGTCTTTTCAAAAATCGTCTGCGTTGCTAAGGCAACATGAAGCAAATCTAATTACAATTCTAAACAAAAAAATCTAACTAAATAAATAACTATGAAATCCGTAACAATATGAATTAAGTAATAATTAATAATAAAGCAAAGCGCATGCACATGCATGCACCAATATATCGTACAAAACTATGATTGGAAAACTGAGACCATGAGTTTGGCCACATTCGGCTATCGGGAGACGCGTACAAGTTCTGAGTGCACGTGTCCCCCAAAGGCCGAAGGTAGCTGAACGCAAGCTACTCACACGCATTTGTAATTTAAGTAGTGTGTGTGTCAGCTCGCTGTGAGTAATCTAACAACACTGAATAAATTATCGTTAATTACTTAGCAGTAAACATTTAATTTTTTTTCTTCGTCGATATGTTATTTTATTATTATATATTATTATTTGCCGATATATTGGCCGGGCCGCAAAAATATTTGTTGTGGGCCGCATGCGGCCCGCGGGTCGCGAATTTGACATCCTTGCACTATCTGAAAGTGCTCTTGAATATTTCTTGTTACCCCACCGCATTTATAACTTATTCACTGATTTCTTATCGTTAATGAGCCATTAATAACTCAAGAAGGTACTTACGTATGAAAGCAACCACCTTGGCTCAATATAGCGATTTTTTACAGATGAAAAGGTAAAAGTTACTTATCGAATGAAATTTAGTAGTTTTTGCTCAATTCTTTGGAACGTTTGCCGGATTATCGGTATTTATCGCACATGCATGCACATATCGGTATTTATCGCACATGCATGCCGGATTATCGGTATTATCGCACATGCAAACATTATTAAAAGAGCAATTTAAAATACAAATTTGAATTATTAAATAAGTATTACGTGATACACTTAAAAAATAAAACACTTCCATTCTTTTTCAAATTTTCTTGCAATTTATTTTTTGCTCTATTTACTCCCAAATTACACAGCCATGGTTTCCCTTAAAAATATCTGAGAATTGCGGAGACTCGGCTTCATGCAACCCTCAGCAGCAGTGCTATCTAGGAAACGCATTTCATTGTTGTTCCCTTCAGAAATTGTCCTCAAAATTCCGTATTTCTGCAGAAATTTTACTGTAATATCTTCCATTGCTGGTAATTTCCGCGAGTTCATATATTCACGATTTGTTTATTAAAAACAGTTGGAACTTTGAATACAACAAAAAAGAACGCATACAAAAATGGCGCCGTTCCTTCAGCCAAAACCATGGCTGAAGGATTGTTATAAGCATGGTTGCCGGAAGAATGCTCATGCGCATGGACGCCAGAATTTGGCAAGTTCTGAAATTTTGGCGATTTCTAAGAGGTAGTTGCGTTAAGTAAAAACGCAAAATATTTAAGTAGAACTTCAAAAATATTCAATGTTAAATTTTTAATATTAATAAATGAACTCTAATGTGCAAAGCAAAAAGAGAATAAATGAGATTTTACTTGTGACAGAAAATAGTATTGATTTACTTCTTAAAAACATGTTGAAATTTTATCAATCTCAATAGACTCTCTTCTGTTGACTAAAAACAAATAAGAACAAGAATTTCATATAAATTAATCTGATGTTATCCAAAAATCAAAATAAACATGAAAATGCATGTATTGTTACATAATCAAGTATTGATACGTGTCAAAAATATTTGAATCCTGGCAGTTGATTACATTAGAAAGCTTTAAATTGATGTTTGAAAACAATTTTTAAAAGGGGAAATATCTTAGAGAATAATATCGAAAAATTTTTCTAATTCGCTTTATAAAATATCTTAGAATAACATATGAAGAAGAAAAACATTGAACCCGAATTTTAAAACCAGCCAAATTTAAAAGTTGAACTAATCAGATTAAAGCAAGCTTCCTGTAATTTTGAATAACACATTTTTATTTATTTCATTATACTATATGACAAAACACAGTCTGAACCAGGAATATATGTTGCTCGCAGGACATAAATGTTCCTCATTCAAAGCAAATTTATCTTGATTGAAAGATATTATCCCGTCTTATCAATGGAATAATATTAGCTCACGATGTGAGTGATTCCATCTATAATATTTTTAGAATAACACAGAATCATGTTATTTGAAATCCACTTTGGCTTAAGGTTAGGAAGAGCCTAATTTAAAAGATTTCTACTGCTGTTTTAAGACTCTTCGAAATATTTCATGTGCATACATCATTACATGTAACAATCAATATGTTATACACTAATATTAAATATTCGAATTTCCATACGTTTCATTCCTTGTCTTTGTCAACTGGCTTAACCATTTGTGAAAACAAATGAACTTCTAACAGTATGTCAAAACTTCTTCACAATAACTTTCTGGCAAAACACTGCTTACTAGCGATTCTCTTTTTAACACCAATAACTAAGTAATGATCCACTGTAGTTACGTTTCCTTCGGAGTACGCAGTACAGAGCCTCAGCTAATACACTGTCTTAAATGAGGTCTACGTTCTTTCATTCGCAATCATTTTTTTGAGATTTTCGAAAGCGTTGATATATTTTAAAGTATGGAGTTCAGTACACATTTTCAACTATCAGGCATGAATAATAATAATTTTTGACAACCTTTCAAGGAGTCTTGAGCCCATGAGCACTTTCAGAAACCGCTCATTAGCCCTTGAGTTCCGTTCGGCAGTTCATGAGCTGGCCATCATTGTCTAGCGTATAAGAAGAAAAATTATGTTTAGTTTTTTACTGCAACATGAACATATATTGACAGGTAAGAACAAAGAATAATGACTTGCTAATTGAGTTCCAAAAATATTTTCTTTTGCATAAAATCTGGATCCACAAATATATTTTTAAACTCATATTATGCAAACACGAAAAGTCAGCTAATTATTTAAAAAGAAATTTAATTCTGAACAGTCTATGTACAGAGTTAGGTTTCACTGCATATTTTCTGAACATTTTCATTGAAATGCATTTTCTTTAATGAATGCTTTTAAATAAATAAAACTGTGTGCAGCAAGTAATTATATAACCTTCTCTGCTTGGAACTGCATTCTGAATAATTTCTATAAGCTACTTGTGAATTTTTTATATTAAAACGCTGCTAAAATTCTTCAGATATTCATTTTTGTTTCCATAAGTTTCGAAAGATTCATAACTATTTGAGAAATTCAATAATAATGCAGCTGCTAAGAATTAGCAGACCATTAACGGAAATTTACAATTGATATTTTTTTTAAGTGAAATATTCAAATAACATGATAGTTTCATATTTTCTAAAATTTTGCTGCCACTTACTACTTTTGAATTTTGTTTCATGCAATGATCAGAGAACATTACATTTCATGCAATAATCAGGGTATATTTAGGAACTAAATATCCATTCTGAAATCTATCTGAAATAACAAATGTGTTTTTATTGCTCCAAGAATTTAAAACAAGTTTCAAAGAAACTATTCGGAAAGCAGTTTTTCCGAATAGTTTCTTTATAAAATATTCAAAGGCATTTTTCAAGCAAACAAAACCATTTAAAAAAGTTTCATAAATTATAAATAAATTTGCTTCGTGTTATACGTATTTCCGAAATAATGTTGTATTGTAATTTACATTTGCATAATTTACATTTTTTCAGGTCTACCACGTATGTTTTGAAGACAGACAAGAAAGTTTCTTATGTGGACCAGGAACAACCTTCAATCAAAGAATTTTAGCTTGTGATTTCTGGTATAATTTTGATTGTAAAGAAAGTCCATCTTTTTTCAATGCTAATCAAGACATTGGGAAAGTACCAGATACAATATTCAAACCAGATCAAACTAGAACACAACAGCCATCATATCCTAGTTATCCTCGGCAACCCGATCAGCCACCATCAGTTGGTTCTTATCCTCCTAGTATAAGCATACCTCCACCACCCTCCCGAATCACACCCCAACCTCAACCACCACGAATTCAGCCACCAAGTACTGTAACACATGTTCAGCAACCAGAAAGGCCTACATACCAACCTCAACCACCGAGTATCCAACCTCAACCACCACGAATTCAACCACCAAGTACTGTAATACATGTTCAGCAACCAGAAAGGCCAGCATACCAACCCCAAACACCGATCTCCCAGCCTCAGCCACCAAGAATTCGTCCTCAACCTCCTGCATTCAGACCACCATACGATTCATCCCGTGATTCCATAAAACCTCAGTACCCAAGTCCGTCTGCCGGAGGTCGAACACCTTCCATTCAACAGCAAGAAGAAAACGGATATCAATTTGATGGCTATCAACCTTCAAAACCAGTGTCTTTGCCACCACCTCAGCCTGCAAGCCCCTTGACTCCTCGTCCAGTTTTTCCACCTGTCTCCTCCCCTCCAAGAATTTCCCGTCCTCCACTAACACCAGCAATTATTCGCCAACCTGAAAGACCTCGAGTTCCTGTTATAGTTAGCACCAGGCCAGAATATCACCCAGACTCGAATATAAAAGGCAACATTGATTACAGACCGCCACAGCAAGGTCGCGTACCTCAACCCAGTCGACCAGTAGTTTCAGAATATCCTAGTTATCCAGTTCCCCAAAGACCTGTTTCTCAGGTGCCAGTTTCACAAAGACCTGTTTCTCAGGTGCCGGTTTCACAAAGGCCTGTTTCTCAGGTGCATATTTCACAAAAACCTGTTGGAAGACCTTCTAGCAGGCCACCTTATCAGCCTCCTCAAACGGTACAACGGGAGCATGTTGATACGGAGTATATTCCACCGCCACCACCTCCAAAACAGCCTTCTAGACCAACCACGTTTGTTCCTCCACCGCCACCACCACCTCCTAAACAACCCTCTAGACCTACCAACTCCTACGTACCCCCACCTGCTGTTCAACAAGAAGTTATTCTCACTAAACCTCCACAACCTCCATCAAGGATTCCTTCTCCACCGCCTGTTGCACAGAAACCAATCGACAGAGATTATGGTAAACCTCAACCACCCGTAGCTCCATCAATAATTAGTGAACGACAAAAGCCTGCCATTCCACCTCCGTCCAGACCGCAAGTATCAGTTGCCGCACAGCCTCCCTCAAGACCAAAGCCTGTTTTCCCCCCACCTTCTGATCATCCAAATGCAAACATCAAAGGTGGACCAGGTTACCAACAGCCTCCACCACAACCTCCTAGGTTTGAACCTACGCGCATCAGCAGACCATCTACTCCTCAAAGTGGATATCAGGTACCGCCACAAGTTTCTCGCTCACGACCTCCGCCAGCAGGGGGATATGATACGACAACTGCAGTCAAACCAGTAGGCGAGAAAAGACCTGTTGGTACAGGATCTGCTTCATATAAACCCCCACAGCAAGGCCGCGTTAAGAAACCAAGTGAACCAACTGGCAGCATTTACCAGCCCCCAAGACAAGTAATAATTGATCACCCTCAAGCTGAAATTAAAGGTAATGGATATGAAGCTCCAAACGTTGTGCAACAACCTCAAAGAATCAAATCTCCATCAACTTCTGTTTCGGGAGTGAAGCGTCCTCAAACAAGCGGAGGCTATCAGAAACCACAAGTACAAAGACCGAGAGCCCCGGTTGTTGTGTCAAGGCCACAACCACCATCGTTGCCTACAACTTCTATAAAGAAGACGACTCCAGCCGATACTCAAGCCTATGATAAACCCCGTCCTCAGCCTCCAGCAATAAGTCGTGTTAAGCAGCCCAGTCAATCCCAAATTCAGCATATTCAGACATCCTCTGCACAATCCCGATTTCCATCACATCAGCCAATTGACCATCCTAATGCCAATATAAAAGGTGGGCCTGGATACAATCAACCGAGACCCCAAACGCATCCTGTCGGCATTTCACAAATAAGCCGACCTTCAGGCCCACCATCTTCACCCTCGACTTCCTATGAGCAAAAAACGTCTTCTTCAGGTCATCGTCAGCCAATTAGTAGCGGATATCCTTCTCCTCCTTCACGACCTTCCTATGATGGACCCTCTCAACAACAAATCAAAACGCAGCAGGACTTTAAACCTCAACGCAGGCCTCCCGCTAATACTATAACATCCTCTCAAAAAGTACCTCAGACGAGTTCAGGCGTAAAAACTGCCGGATATCAGCAACCATCTTCTTCTCATCAAGCTATCCGACCGCAACAACTAAAACCAGAATATGATGGAAGCTCTAGTTATACCAGAGGGCCAGAGATCTATCCTAAACCAGAGTTTGGACAACCAAGTGCACCCTATCAACCTATATCAACACCGTCTCGTAGCAGTCAAATTTCAAAGCAAGGCACACCCTCTCAAAATACCATCACACAAACACAAATTAAGCCTGCATACCAAGGATCTCCAGCTTCTTCAGGATCAGGTGTTCATGTACGACCCGATTATCCTAATAGAGATCTTCCGGGACACCAACCACCTCATCAACGTCAAGTCTTCCCACACAGAGAAAATCCAGACCATCCAAATGAAAGTATAAAGGGTAGTGGAGCCTATAGACCCCCTCCTCCTGCAGGCTTCCAAGCAGCAGCATCTGAGACTCAAGAACAGAAAGTGCTTCCAGAACCAGAGCCAGCATCTTCGCCACTCTTAGGTGATGTTGGCGCAGAATAAACGGGCCTTTCTTGAAAAAAAAATTGTACTGCTTGGAGGGTTTTCAGTAGGGGTTATTAGCCCGATATGGTAAATCGTTTGAGAGAACATTTGATTTCAAAATCAATGGGAAAGAACCAAGCAAATGGAATGTGTATCGGTTTCAATGTTTTCCCCAATCGCACAAAAGTTGTGTTGTACGTCTTGTAGCCCACTGTATCTTCCGATTTTAATCAAAACACTGTGAAACGTAAAAGGGAACTTTAAGACTGCATAAGTTTTGATTTATTTTTGTAACGGGAAAATATGTAGCTATAACAAAAATAATTTGGTAGTATACAGTTAATAATCTCACTTTGATCTTCCGGTAGATTGACATATAACCAATGGTTTATATTTATTTCAAACCGAATGCAAATACACTGCTGGTCATACCTCTTTCCAAGGCATGAAAAAAAAATCATTATATCAAAAAATGTTTCATTAAGATAACATAATAATTAACTCTGTAAAAATGGCTACATTTATGCCAAAATTTAATAAAAACTTTTTTGCTGTACTACTATATTTTTAAAATCGCAAGAAAATACTTTTATCTTTCTAAAATATATATTTATGGAGTGAATTTATTAAAAATATTTATAATTATATGAGTGAAAATTTTTCAACATACGAATATTTTAAACACGTGTAAATAAGTATTTCTATAATGAGTATGTTTAATTTTTGTATGTTCCTGTATGTCCAAGCTATGTTGTATGTCTCAGACGAAAAGTCTGTGCTGTGCTTTTTTCTGGGGTATTTGAATAACTTATTGTTAAAGCGAGCCCTGCTTTTCCCTACGGTAGTTTGAACTGGCAGCCAGGGTTTTACACTTCACAAGAAAAAAAAAATTCATGAGAAATTCCTTTTAATCAGCAAAATACCTTTACGTTATTTTTATCACTGTAACACGGATTTTCTTTCTTTTGCAACAGTAATAAGCTTAATTAACTATTTGTATCATCACCATATTAATTACAATGTCGTTTTTTATTTCTTATTATATGCAACTAGCGTAGGGTGAAGCATTGTTCTTTTTATTTTCCATGGCGGCATGTCTAGCTTCTGATGAGACACAGTCTACTTTCCGAATCTCTTTACAATTGGTGTCACACAGAATCTTTACTGCCCGTGGAAATAATTATGCTTTCATTACGTCCAACTTTGTATGTTATGCATTTCTGTATGTATAAGGATGTAAAAGTTATTAAAAATGTTACTTTTCTATTTGGAAGTGTATTTATTCTTAAACTATAATTGAATACTAATTAATCAAATACACATACATGTAATAATGATTTTGGATGTTTTGACACAAATAGCAAAGGAAAACCTGTTCATTGACAATTTTTCTTTAATAGTGAGAAGCCATGTACTTTCTTGACTTACATTTATTTTAAACACAGCATGACTTATAAATCTGGCATACAAATGATGCTGGTACGTAAAAATGCGAGAGAAGTTTCGATGAAGACGCATTCTGAGTGCACTTGATTCAAGCTTAAAAGCATTAAAAGTAAGTTTTAATAATCAGCGTATAAGGTGGAGAGTATGCCCATTTATTCACAATTTCCGGCATAAGTTTTACATACTTGCTTGACGATAAAAGGAGAAAGCTATGATGAGAAATGAAGAAATTTCAACAGGAAATTTTGCAAGTGAATGTAGGATTTTTAATTTCCTTAATTAGAGGGTATTGTTACCGAATTATGCTACTGGTTATCAAGAGACTAACATTTCTGTGAGGAAAACAAATGAGGTAATGGCAAAAGCAGAAGATGGTTAAAACGTTTTATGGTATAAATATGCTGAACTTATGATATGATATAAAGGACGCAGCCCGACCCTCCTGGCAGACTTTACATCACCCTATGGCATTTTTGCGAGCTGCGCCAGAGGTGCTGAACTTATAAGGTATTTTCTCCCTCCTTTTTGCCTTCGTAGTGGAAAGGTAGCACATTCGGCGCGTATTCGAGAGGTCCAGCTTCCGGTCCCAGTGAGGGCATTACTCATTTTTCACATCTCCTGTCTCAAAAATATCCTAATGTCTGTACAGTGGAGCCTGAACTAAAAGGTGACGGATGATTCTTCACTACCTAAATTTAGCGATTGGGTCCCCCAATCTCCAGTAGCCCTGTAAAAGGAGGAGTATATAAGGTATTTTCTCCCTCCTTTCTACATGCCTTCATGGTGTAATGGTACCACACTCGGCGGGTATTCGAAAGTTCCAGGTTCGAGTCTCGGCGAGGGCATTGCTTATTTTTCGTGTTTCCTATTTAAAAATCCTAATCATTCTTCAGATATAGAATTCCAGAATTTCATTAAAACTTTTAATGCTCCATAAAGGAAGACTGTATTCCGTCAGAATTGTACCGTGTATGCTTCTCTGATTAAGTTACCTTACACAGCAAATTTAATCTTCAATTTATTATATCTACATTTTAGACTTATAATCCTATCATTAACTCAGATTTCTCGTTTGACCACATATTCTTAATAAAATAAAATATTTTTTCTATAAGTATTGTACTGCCTGCAATAAAAGGTAAAAACTTCATAACATTACAAAAATTTTAACTCCTTTCCCAAATTAAAAAAGAAGTATATATTCATCTAATTGTTATAAGAACATTTTCTTCATTCCACTAATTCACCTACCTCATATGCCTTCATTACAGTCACTGATATAAGAGTTTTTAAAAGTACAGCTCTAATGCAAGATTATTTAGTGTTTTGATGAAAATGAAAATTTCCTTAGTCAAACTAATCTTGTACGTCTTTCCATTACTATGGTCTCTGATCTCATATAACAGTTTCTACTGTTTTGGTAGTTACGATAAGTTCCTAAGCCGGACTATCTTTATCGCACCTATTTTCATTCAGATGTCTTCTCTAGTATAATTCATTTCAACTTAAAATGTGCAAAAGTAAGTGTTTCCTGAACTGTACCGGCACTTGCTCTTATACTTTAGCCTTCTTTCATAGATATATTTCACGCCCTCAAAATATTTAGCCACATAGATGTCTCCAAAATCTACTATCACATTTACTTGTTTTTTTGACACCATTTGAAAAAAAAATTTTTTTAATACTCCGTGCGTACCAAAATTATTTCTGTAGCTTAGAAATGCTGTCTTAAATACTATCTTTTTCAGTGACATCTACAAATGACATCTACAATTTAAAGCAAGATCTCCAAACTTTATTTTAGTGTAACAGGACATTTTTTCTTTAAACAATAATTAGATGGCAATCAAGTACGAATAGATTTTTTATATATATAGTTTCAAATTTGAAATAGTAATTTATGTCTGACTAGTAACTAAGCATAATTATAGCTTTTATGAAAAAATATCTCAAAATTAATATTTTTATCAAAACATGTGAACGATTGAAAAATGTCAAAAATACGAGTCAGTTTACATGATAATAATGTCAGTCTGTATAGAATTGGATGGAATTTGGATCTTTTTATACTATTACCAAGAATTTTCAGGTATTTCTCATTAGTAATTGACCAAATACGTGTATCAAGGGTATTTATACAGCAGTTAGATATGTTTCGTTACCTTGAACATTTTTCCCAATGAGGCCGCCACCTAAATGATTGCAGGTTAAACTTTAGCTGAAATACAGTAGGGAGAATTTCTTAATTAAACATAAGATAAGGGTCTAAAATTAAAATTTTATTTTATAAACACACAGATATACATACATATATAAATATATATATATATATTATATATATATATATGGTGGTGCAAGAGAAAATTTTAATTAGATATTTATATATGTATATGAACTAAACCAAGGTTTCTTAAAATGTAGGTCGCGACCCCCAAAGGGGTCGCCAAAAAATTTTAGCAGTTTTGATATTTTTTTAACTTATAATAATTTTACAATTACCATACTTTTTACACAGTGTATCTGAAAATAGATAAAGGTAAGATAATACAGACAAAGAAAAAAACGAAAACGTTTCGACGCATTTCTTTTTTATATAAACGTTTCATTTCCTTGCTTTGCACGTGACGCTGTCATTTCGTCTGTTACTTATTTAAAATTTTCACATTGTTCTGTCTTAAAATTAGAAATTAAAGTTAATGACCTAAAACTGTAAAAGTGTATTAGAGTACAAGTGAAAAAATTGGCAGTTTCACTTACGCGTGTATTGGATTTGCGCAATACTTATCGGGTCCCACAAAAGTTTTGTAATAGTTTTTATAGTGTCCTGGGAGTTACGAAAAAATCTCATTGATAAAAAGGGGTCGCGACTGAAAAAGTTTAAGAAACCCTGAACTAAACTAAAAACATTAAACTAAAATGTTAAAAATGTTAAATTAAATTGGGATCAAAGCAAGGTAATTCCTCAACATTATTAATAATTGCAACCGTTGGTAAGAGGTTTACCATAGTATCTAAACATATGAAAATTAAAATAAGAATTCATCAGTAGAACAAACTCGAAAAAAGTGAAAAAGGTAAAATACAATATCCCTTTTTACTGAAAATATGTTATCCTGCAAGCTGCGCGGATTTGATATCTATTAATGTTACTAGGTTAAGCAAATAAAGAAGTTTGTTTAAAACCTTTTTCTAAGATCATTTCTCTGCGCCTTTAGAAGCTACGACGGGGCGATAAATTTTCTGATCGTGTTAATGATTTCATAAAATAACATTTAGAATGGGGATCCGTACAACCCTAACTCCCTACCTCGTAGTTCGAATGAATAAGTAGATACTTGTGCAAGAATTCAACTTACTATGCATGTTATCGTACATATTAGATTTAGGGAGAACAAACTGCTGTATACTGCTTAAAATTGGCATTTGAGGACAATGACGATTTGAACTGGCAATCTTTATCATCCCTTGGTCCCCTGTGTGCGCAGTAAGATACAGGCACATGATCCTCTCTGGATGAAATATTTGTGCATCTCCATAGTACTACAAATGCGTAGAAAGTAAATTTGAATAAAACAGATCATGAAAGTCTTGACTTAATTTAAAAATTTGAGCAGGATTTAACTTATTCTTTTTCTTCTTATATAACTAGAATTATTTAAATAAACAATATTTAGTAACTTGATTCTGAAAAGAAAATCTAGAAGCATTTAACCAAAGAATGATACAAAGCAGTAATCTGAGGAAATCAGTTTTCTTAAAATGCGTTACTTTAAGGACTGACTGCAAAGGAAAACAATTATCTAATCAATATGAAAATGTTTTAATAGCTGAAATTTTTATATCATATTACATAGAAATTATTTTGTATTTCATCTACTTAAAAGCTAATCTTAAGTTTTCGTAGTAATTTTATCATTTGTAAATGTGAGCAGAAATAATGAAATGAGGTATATTTTCTGTCACAGTAAGCAGAATTCTGAAAGACAATATGTCTACTGGTAATTGCAGTCACTATCTGTATGATTCTGTAGGTCTTTT